GTGTTCACCAGTGACATACCTACACGAGTGCTCCTGGGAACTTTTCCATCCCTACCCTCTAAAGAATGTGCTGTTGCATCGCCAGCTTTTTCTAACCATGCCTGTAGTGCTTCCTTTATGAATATTTCTCTTGCACAGCAGCGTAGGGCCACCAAATGTAGGTCAGTTCCTGATTTTCCACGGTGGAGGTGGAGAGGAGAGGACCGTGGCTACTGATTAACTTCTGAATTCTGTTTGACACTTCTTCTGTGCTGAGGGGTAGGAGGGAATACACTTACCTTTCAAACCACAGCTATAAGGTAGCCAGTTCCCATTTGTCTTTGTGGACAGTTCTGCCACTGTATAGAGCAGTAAAACGTTTGTGATCATCCAGCAGCTTCTGGCTGCGGCTGTGGTTTCAGGGGACCTGGTACCAGTTCTAAAATTCCATGGCCCCATCAGGCAAAGCACTAAATGAGGCCACTGGAGCTGTGTACAAACTCTGTGCCCGTTGCTCGTGTTTGCTGGGTCAGCTGCCTCCTGCCCTCTCAAAGCGGCCACAGAAATCGATGTGCAAAATCTAAAGCATTTTGGCTAACGTCTCAGTTGATAGAAATTTGAGATCCGGTTGGAATTGGGAACGACCCTTGTGGTTTTCCAAAGTTTTTGTTTCAAGTTTGGAAAATAAGGAAGTACATAGAGCTGCTTCCCTCTTAAAGTTTCTGGGGGGAAAAAAAGCCCTGCATCATTCTTACTCTTTGGAAAAATGGTAGTTTTCAGAGTTGAAAGTCATCGTGACAATCATGGGGGAACCTGAGGTCCAGACTAAGCTTCTTCCAAAGGGTTATCCTCTGGATCTGCTTCTTGCAAACAGGGGGCAATGAGCTTTGTAGTGTTGACAATATATGAACACAGCCTTGTGTCCCAGTCCTGGTGCTCCAGTCTGACAGTACCTGACAAACTGGTGACTTTTCTAATGAATGTTTTTCAAAAAAAAAACCCAACTCTCACTGTAGAGATGAATGCTATCACAGAAAATTAGATTTTTTTTTAAATTATTATTATTTATCTTTTGTAGTTGTTACTGAGTATTCTTGAACTAATAGGAAAAAGTAGGGAACATTTTTTTTTTTTGGTGGTTCAGCCAAGAACTAGATCAAATGATGCTGCTTTCAAAGAAAACGGTGCCTGCAAGGGAAGAGACGTATATATTGCATTCTCCTTAAATGGGGTTCATGGTCCATTTTTCCTTTCCATGCTAATAAGCTCTTTGTGTATATCTGTGTCTTCTGCCCTGCCTAGGTTAACTCTTGAATCTGGTAAGAGATGAGTCTTCAAATTGTTTTTTTGGGCAGACTTGCATGCCCTTTGGTACCTTGTGGAATAGAAGCTTTTTGTGTAGCCTGTCTTGGTATATGGGCAGACTTCCCTGTAGGAAAACCTTTGTTATATGCTTCAGTGAATGTTTTTATTTACAGTAGAGGTTCCAAAGTAATGACTTGCAGGCAGAAACTGCAGGAAGAAAAAGAAAATCATGTTTAATTACAGTCTTGCATTGTACATCTCCAGCTCTCATGGTTTTCACTTCTTTTTCTTTCAGGGAACTTGGAAATGCATTGTAACTTGATTAAACGAAATAGGATCTCTCTTGGTAAATAGCAAACGTGGTATTAGTAGTCACAAAAATGCAGAGTCTAAGAGTTTTAGACTTAGTCTACGTTCTTAGAGTCTGAGAACTACCGTGTTGTGTCAAAGCAGACACTCCTGTGGCTTTGTGTCCTGTCCCGATGGTTCCGACTCTGGAAGAAGAATTGTGTGTTGAAGATACTGAGTGACCTTTCCCCAGCTCCAATCAACAAGGAAGGTTTTCCTCTTGTGAACTTGCACCTGGCCTATCCCCAGCAGTAGTAGGCTATTTGTCTAGATACTAATCTTATCTAAAGCTTGTAAACCCATGTCAGCTTTTGGCCTTCCTGGGTTAATCATGTATGAGCACTGAAGATAATTCGGTATAGAGAGAGATGAATGTTAATCAATGTCCTGGTGGAAATTTCACTTCCAGCCTTTCCATCTAATCCGAGCCGGCGGATAGTTCATTGTACTGTGTGTACATAGCTGGTGTTGAATTTTATCTCTGACTTTTCAGCTTCTGATCAGTTAGATTTGTTACAGAGGGCTATAAAACGTCTGAGTCACCGTGTTTAGCTGTGCTCGGTTAGTGGGATGAGAGATCTGATAAAGAAGAGTGATATCTCTCAGATAACCTCATCTCCTGCTGCCTAAACATTTCTGTTTCAATTTGGTGCTTCTGATTGCAGAACAAAAGTATTCTGAAAATCTCTGGTTATCATCCGTGCCGTGAAATGTGAGTTTAATTGCTGAGTAGAAACAAGAAGAGTCTGGAAATCTGTTCTCCTCGTTTTCCTTGGACCGCCCTCCCGACACGCGTGTGTGTAGTGTTTGTGTGGACACACACACGCTCCCTCTCTCTAGGAAAAGTAGCACGAGGCCATTTTTGCCTGTTAATTAAGTTGCTTGTTGTCACCCAAACACTGTCGTTCCAGCTGTTGTGTTGCAGCTCTCAAGAATTAACACAAGGCACAAGATATTTGCCTGCTCTCCTGAAGTTCTCAAGAACAATTCCTGAGGAATGATCGCATCTTCTGTGAGAAGATAGCAGTCTTACTGTTTTGCAATGCGAAGTAAAATGGGATTATATGGTCTTTTCTTTTGCATCAGTGGAGATGCTCGCTAATGCTAACTAAGCAGCTTACCGTGCCAGAATACCTTAAACCAGATTCCTGAATGGCAGCTTTCCTGCTGGTGTAACTCTTACCCTGGTGGTTGTTGGCGTGGTTGTGTTTGGTGGGGAGGTGTAATTTCTGCCCTTCCCTTTTCCTTTCCAATCTGAGATGATAAAGCTGCCAGAGTAAACCACGCCTGTCTCCGTCGCTGATTTTCTTGGAGAATAAAATATGTCTGCATTGACAGAAGAAGGCAAATTCAGTTCTTTTTTGTGTGTGTGTGCTTAAAAAAAATCCCTCCTGCCTCTACAGTAAAAGCTAACAAAACCCTTAAAAAAACAAACAAAAAAACCCCAAAACACCCAGACACCTCCACTGCCTCCCAAACCTTTGAGTAGTGTCTGTCTCTTCCTCCTCTGTAGCTTAGGCAGCTTTGAGACGTATGTTCCTGTAAGGATTTGAAGAGGCATCACCAGTTATCTGTGTGCAAACTGGGAGGCAGACAAACTAATTTAAAGTTGCTGTGTCTGGAGATTTTCACTTTCGCAGGGAAGTCTGTGGTTATTGTAAAAAATGGGAATGACTTTTTTTTTTTTTTTTGGAACAGCATGACAATGAGTACTCAAACTAGTCGTCTTCTTTAGTCTTAAATTCAAGTGAGAAATAATTAATCATGGTATCTTAATATTTACTTTAAGAAACAAGTCTTAATTAAACCCTTATTTGAAGGCACTATTTTCCATTCTGTTTTGATTTAATTAGCTTCAAGGGTATCTCAGTGCCCAAGTAGTATTTCTTATGTATATTTTCTCTCTTGAAAAGTTACATTGCTTTGAAAGATTAATATCTCTTTCACCTCAAGTAACCCGAATTTTCAGGCAAATGAGCAATTAACAGCTATTAAGAGGTTCTAAAATATTAGTGCTCTGTAATTTTTCAAACAGAAAAATTTTGTTTTTCTAGCAGAAAGGGTCTTTGTCAAGCTTCATTATTATTGCAGTTATGGTAGACGTTTCAGCTGCTGGTGTTCTCCTGAGCTGTGCTTTGGAAGGGAAGTTCAAGAAAAAATCCAAACACTACTTTTTTACTTTTTAATATTTTACTTTCTAATATATTCTGTGTTTTTTGAATGTCCGCTAGCTGCATTTCCACCTCGAGCAATTAAATTGAAAACGCCATTAACTTGCTTTTGAAGTAACACCAGTGCGCAGTGGGTTTTGCTGCTTGGAGGTGTTCCTGGTTTTGCAGAAAATTTTGCTTGATATGATTTTGAAAAGGCCATTTTTCAGGTTCTGTCGTGTACTTTCTTCTGTAGCTTAGCTTGTTTCATCCACAGGTGTCTGCAGCTGCACTTGCTTTTTTGACACAGGTTGAAAAACTTGGGTTTGTTGCAGGATTATCTGTGCTGTCTTGTGGGAATTTTAGGTTCAAATCTGTTAATTCCTGTTCCTTAGTCTTGGAAATGGCAAAAGTGTCGATGACCATGGACTGGCAGGTCTAGTTTAAGAAGCAAACGTGAGAACGTTATATTGTGGTGACACATCCGGGGAAACAAAAGAGAACCAGTAAGCTGTGCGATCTTTCCTGATGCTGTGCCAAACTAGGAGTGATATTACTAATTAAAATACACGGTTTTATCCTGAAGCAGTTGCTTCAGCATCATCAGGCAGGTTACTTTGAACCTCCCTCGTGCAACTGGGATAGTTTCGGGTAAAGGGTGTTCAGCAGTTTCTGTCTGTCTGAAATACCAAAAGTCGGGTGTACTTCACTGTCTCGTCTAAGCTTCCTGAACGCTTTTTATTTAAAAATCAGTTGGTTTAAAAGGAAGGATTTAGTTATACAGAAGTGATCTTGTGAGTAGGTCTACAAATTCGTGCTCTTTGAAGAAGCACAAGTATTTTTTGCCATGGATGTTCAATAGTGAGCTGGTTTACATCGCTGCGTAGCTGGAGTACGGGTATAGTTTGTTCCCAAAAAGTTCAATGGAAATGCCTGTGAAATTGAAACAAAACCAGACTTTGGTTTTTGGTAATTGAAGACCATAGGAGAAGAATGAGAGAATAATCACAGTATTCCTGTCCTGAAAGAATTCAGAATACTGCCAGCTTTATCTTTAAATGGTAATCTGCTAATTAGCAAATCAACAAGGAATTATAAGAGTTGGTGAGTCATGAGTGTGAAAGGGAACCAAAGCTTCGGGGCATGTGTGTTTTGTACATATATCTCAGGTAATCAAGAAAAAATCCATTTGTCTCTTCAGCTCTAGGTGCCATTGATGCTAAAGACTTAAAGGAGCAGCCCTAATGTCCCAGCTGGATTCCTGAGCGCTTTTGTGATTCCTGGAGGTGCTGCTGTTTAAAATAAGAAATTGTCCTTAGTACCTGGCCTCTCATCCCAGAAGCATCCTCTTGAATACTGTATGCAAGTCCTTGACATTCTGGAAACGATGGGGATTGGTAAGAATACCACTTCGAAATCAGTGGAGGCAGGAGGCTCAACAGAAGGCAAATATGAGGATGAATCTAAACATCCCACCTTTTTCACCCTGCCTGTAAGTACCACGGTCAGGCTCCACACAGGCAAGCTCAGCCTGAATCAGTTACTGCTTTGTTCTAGTCGTGTTGTACAAAAACTTTATTTCCACGAGTAGTTAGGAAAACCTCTTCTGCTGCCTGTTACTGCTTATACGTAAACGTGGCACTGGACCAGGTTGCCCAGAGAAGTTGTGGATGCCCCATCCCTGGCAGTGTTCCAGGCCAGGTTGGATGAGGCTTTGGGCAACCTGGTGTAGTGGAAGGTGTCCCTGCCCATGGCAGGGGGGTTGGAACTGGATGATCTTTGAGGTCCCTTCCAACCCAAACCATTCTATGATTCTATGGCCAGTTATGTTGCCTGTAGTTACTTCCCATGTGTGCTCCAAAGCAGGACATGCAACACCCCAGGCAGTTCGTGATTAGAACAACGAACTGACCTACTGCAGGACGCAGCAGCCCCTGGTACGTCCCGAGCTGCTTGACTAGGAGGAGCAGGTGACAGCAAGGAAACGTTGGCGTCTCGTCTTCTACTTGGATTTTCAGTTGTATCGTTCTGTTGTACATGTCTGCCTCTTAGGAACTCTTCCAATCAGTCTGCTGCTTGTTTCCTCTCACCCTTAGTTGACACTGTCCGGTCTTTGAGGAGCTGTATGTGGTGTCTTTCGAGTTTCTGTATGTTCCTAGACATGCTGTTACAGAAATGAATGCATGCCACGCTCGTAGCATTTTCTGACAAAACGTCAAAGGCCAATGTCATAGAATCATAGAATCACAGAATCATAGACTGGTTTGGGTTGGAAGGGACCTCAAAGATCATCCAGTTCCAACCCCCTGCCATGGGCAGGGACACCCTCCACTACACCAGGTTGCCCAAAGCCTCATCCGACCTGGCCTTGAACACTTCCAACGGAGAAAACTGAGTGACATGAGGTGTGATTGCAGAGAAAATGTTCATTTTAAGACCAGGTGTTTCTTTTTTTGGTTTATTTTTAAGGTCGTGATAAATGGTGGAGCAACATCCAGCGGTGATCAGGATACAGAAGACACGGAGTTGATGGCCATCTACACTACAGAAAATGGCATTGCAGAAAAGGTATGTGGCGGTCTCCTCCTGGGTGAGAACTCATTCTTGCTTTTTATTATTTGTCCACAGTAGTTTTACTTGACTGAGAGATTTTCTTTCTCTATTCAGACATGCTGACTTGCAGATTCAGATCAGGCTTGGGGGAGTTCTGTCCTCGTGACTCTTCTGGTCACACATTTTGGTTGCAGAATGTGGGGAATGACTCAGCGAGTATTAGAAGTGGTTCATGCACTTTGACCTGCTGCTGAAATTCATAATCTGGAATTTTTTGATTTCTTCATTTTTGTTGGCCTTTTGCATCATTTCCCTGATAAGGTCATTCCGTTCTGTTCTTCAGTTTTGAACTTTTTCGATGTTTAGTCAAGTAAACTGATGGTGTTGAGCACCTTCAAGAGTGACATCTTTCCACTCTCTTTCCCAGTTTCTTCCAAGCTCCAACCTCATAAACCTAATATTTCTTGTCCTTTTTCTGAGTAGGGGGCGGCTGATTATTGTTGAGTGACAGCTTTATGAATGAATTTCAGGTCATTCATAAAAAAACTCGAGTTTTTCTTAGGATAATGATGATTGCATCTTAGCTATTCAGGAAGACCCAGTCGATGCTTCAAAGGAGACCAATTTGGTTGTGATTTTTCCAGCTTTTTCTCAATTCCGTCATTCCCCACGCCTGTTCAATAATAATCTTCCAAGCAGAAATAGTGTGACTCTGAACTTTTGTTTAAAATAAGGAAGAGGATTACAGTAAATCTGAAAGGTTTATATCTAATTGGCTTTGCGGTTAAGCCTTATCTCCAGAAAGCCTCAATTCGACCAAATTTCTCAAATGTCCTAATTAAACAAGAATAAAACTGTCTTGGTTCCAAGCAAGAGCATCGTGATGCTCATTCCTTTGAGGCTGTAACTTCTCTTGGGGCAAGAATGGTATCAAAGGGTGTAGTTAAGGTTCTCTAACTCGGACGTCAAAATTCCCTTCTGAATTTCAGATTTAAAAGATCACCCTCGACAGGTGATTCTGACAGAGGTCTTCTGGTGTTACTTTTTAAAAGAATGTAATGAATGCCATGATGTGCCTTCCTATTCTCTGTCCTTTACAGATAGTCTGCCTGTATGGCTCGAATATGTCTGTGCCACCATCCTGATCACGCTGAAATTTTAACGGACAAATTTTGGCAGTGGTTGACATGCATATGCCTGTGATGGCTGATTTTTGGAGCATGCTCAGACTAGCCTGGAGAGAGACAATCTGATAAAAGCCTTGAGCAAAAGGTGTTGGGATGAGATTGTGCAACTAAGATTAGCGATCTCTAGACATTAAAGCATGTCTTCGTGGCCTGTTTTTACCAAATGTTTACTTTTCTCCCTTCCTCTTGATCCATGCGATGGGAAGTGTCAATGACGGATGATGATTCACCTCAAAGAGACCGTAAACTTTAAATCAACCAAATCTGCTTGAGTTAAAGCTTTGCTGTGGCTTACAATGAAGGAACGGTGAAAGGAGGGGCTGTAGCAATTAACAGCCTCATGTATTATGATAATATTTCTGGTAATCTAGGCAAACCTCCTGCTTTTCTCTTAAAATCAGCGTGTGCGTGAAGCACGTTTGTTCTTCCTCACCTGGAGTACTGCGTCCAGTTCTGGAGCCCCCAACATAAGAAGGACATGGACCAGTTGGAGAGGGTCCAGAGGAGGGCCACGAAGATGATAAGAGGGCTGGAGCACCTTTCCTATGAGGACAGGCTGAAAGAGCTGGGGCTCTTCAGCCTGGAGAAGAGGAGGCTCTGGGGTGACCTTATAGTGGTCTTCCAGTACCTCAAGGGGGCCTACAAGAAAGATGGGGAGAGGCTGTTCAGGAGGGCCTGTTGTGATAGGACAAGGGGTAATGGTTTTAAAATAGAGGGAGGTAGATTCAGGTTGGATATTAGGAAAAAGTTTTTTACCATGAGAGTTGTAGAACACTGGAACAGGTTGCCCAGAGAGGTGGTGGATGCTCCATCCCTGGAGACGTTCAAGGCCAGGTTGGACGAGGCCCTGAGCAACCTGATCTAGTTGGAGATATCCCTGTTCCTTGCAGGGGGGTTGGACTAGATGACCTTTGAAGGTCCCTTCCAGCCCTAACCATTCTATGATTCTATGATTCTTGGCATTCCTCTTGAGAGATCAGTCACCAAAAAGCAAACAAAAGATCTTGAATAAAAAGCCTTTAAGAAGGAGGACTGAAAGGTACTTAATTGCTGGAGGATGCCCAGTGCTTACATTGTCTCACAGTATTTGTTAGCTGAAACAATAAGATATTAGCCCAGATGGGAAATAACTGTATTGCTGCATCCCTATAAAATAAACAATATTATGTTGCTTATGGCTTAATAGAATTACTTTGAACAAGTAGTCATCTCCTTAAGGCATGTCTCTAGAGGCCTTACTCCTCACAGTTACTCAGTTTTGTTTTGGTCCTTCCCACTAGTACTTGATAACAGAGCCTTCATCTTGCATTGTGCTTGGTGTTTGCTTCTTTGGAATTTAGGCTGGGTTTGTTGATTTGTTTTTTTCCTTTTCCCCAACATTTTTGCTCCACCTTTGTCTCATTTTTTTTCCCCCCCGTTTATACTTATTCTCTGCTCTTTTTTTTTCATTTTTGTGTTGTCCCACCTTTGGGTAATTAAAAATAATTAAAAAAAAAAAAGAATTTGTCTCTGATTGGTATCTCATTAAAAAAGGTGGAGCTCATTCCCAGCAGTTCCCTACAGCATACTGTGGCATACTTGGCAGGCACCAGCACGTAGGTATTAAACCAGCAGGCACACGCTGGAGATATGAAAGGGCCAGTGACTACCCAGTGACTTACCAGCAGCATCGCCAGACCTCACCCTCGTTCTCAAATTCCTCATTGTTCACTCTTGATCTCTTTTATGCTGGTTCCCTTTAGCCATTATCTGCTAAAGGTTTGATGAAGGTGAAAACTTCCTTTTCCAGAGCAGAATAAGTCTGGATTTTGGAAGGAATTAGGAATATCCTGGATTTTTTTTTTTTTTTTGTATCTGACCACTTTGCTGTGTAGGACAGACATTGCTGTGACAATTATACCTTAGTTTGAAATTCTTTTGTTAGAAGACCTATAAACTTCCCTTTCTAAAGGAGGGTTTAAGTTGGTTTGGTAGCAATTGTCAGTCTGTGCCCAAAGAGAGCTTTCTACGTGCTGTGGACGAGGCGTGGTGCCTGCTGATCTTTTTGTTCTTCGCGGACAAGTGTAGGCATAAAAGTAGCCACAAAACTACATTTGAAAAGCTCTGAAAGAACTAATAAACTTGCTGCATGTGTCATGGTCTTCCTGGTAGAAACAGGTCATCGTTTCTGATTTTTGCTGCCCAAAGAAGATGAGGAATATCTATAATATAATGTAATAGATGGGCAGGTGGAAAAGTGAAGGAATGTACTTGATGCAACCTCATCAGTCCTATAAAGAAAAATTAATGTTCAGCACTAAGTGGAACATTTAGGTAGCTACTGGGTATTGGTCTGGCAAAGCTAGAAAAGCTGGGAACGAGGCCAAAAGATGGGTTTTCAAAAGGCAGGGGCCAAAACAGAGCCACCAATCTGCACAAGAACCTGGTATCCTGCATGCAGCGCCATAAACTTTGAAAAATCCCATTTCTGTCTGTCCTTGGAAGGAGTCATGCAGGTTGCTCGGTGTACAGTGGTAGGTGTTTCATCTTTTCACGTTGCAGTCAGGTGGGGGACTATCCACAGTTGGTTCTCCTGAATCTGTGCTGCTATTTGGGTGGCTTCAACAAGCTAATCTTGACGTCATTCGTGAAGCAAACAGTTAATTTCTCGTGATACCTCTCTGTTCCTACTTCACGGGCAGGTGTTGTAACCATTCTTACTCTTCCTTGGTGACCTCTGCCTGTCTGTAAGTGTACAATGACCTCTTAGTCAAAATGTTGAATCAACAGGTGGTGTCACTGGTGAACAAAGTTCTCGGGTGGAGAGTGTGTGGCAGTGAAACTGAGGGGAGGTGAGGTCATACACATGGGTGATATTTTTATATTTGTGTGTGTGTGTTGTAGTCTCTGGGGAAAGGTTAACAAAACTGCTTCATGACAACAGAAAGTATCACAGGAGCTTCTCTGGGTGAATCTTTGTTTTCCTGAGCAAGTTCTTAGAAGAAGCCTCTAGTGATGATGAATGTCCTGCTGTTTGTCCATGACTACGTTGGCTGTTGAGTCTTCTTCCTTCTGCCTGTGTTTGGGAGGCAGCTGCTTTGTGTCCTGCCTTGGATCTGCACATGATTGTATTGACATGAGGATGTACGTGGATCTTCCTGTGTTCCACTTAGGAGACGTGTATGGGTTTACTGCTACTCAGTGATCTCCCTCCAGTATGAGGTGAAGCTCTAAAACTCAAGTTCCTGATTTTTTTTTTTATTGGTCATTTTTTAGAGAATCAGGTCAGGAGAGCAGCCTTTCATTTTGCAGTCAATGAAAAGGCGACGTTGGTGCTGCAAATTGGCAAGATGAGTTGTGCAGTGAACACACTCATGGTGGATGCTCCATCCCTGGAGACATTCAAGGCCAGGTTGGACGAGGCCCTGAGCAACCTGATCTAGTTGGAGATATCCCTGTTCCTTGCAGGGGGGTTGGACTAGATGACCTTTGAAGGTCCCTTCCAGCCCTAACCATTCTATGATTCTATGAACAATTTCTCTTATTCCTCTGTCTGGGACCTAGACCTTATTCAAACTCACCCTGGTGAGCAGATTGCTCAGTGCCTAATGTTGTTTTAAGAGAGTTTTCTGAGATTAGTGTTTCCATCTCTTGTTTTTCCACTGTAATACCGTTGATGTTTCCATAGCGATGTGGTCATTTACACTTTACACTCTCTGAATTTGAATTAACCCCGTGGCATTGGTTTTCCCAACAGAAAGCAGAGGTAAGAGGGAAGTACCATGGGTCAGTTTGGCTTCCCTGACCTTGTAGATGGTAAACCAAATGGAGATTATCTAAGCATAATCTGTGAATGCATTGCAATTTCCGAAGAAGTGAAGACTGTTTGAGGCAAAGTCATGAGTCTGGCAAAGTTCCCAGTCTTTGTGTAAGGCTACTTCACATGAGTGTGTTATGTTCTAGTGTGGATTAGGTCAGAACAGTAGTTATATAAGGTATTTTTTTGTTAGTTGAGCTGAAATGATAAAATCTGATACTTCCTCCTGCTTTTGTTGTTGGTATTTGGGCTTTGGAGCATTGTGGTTTTGTTCTCGGGAATTTCAAAACCAGAGAGTTTGAACGAAACGATTCCACTTATTTGTAAAAAAGAAATGATTGCATTTTAGGGGAAAATCTGCAGGGATTTTGATGCGTGTACGTGTGGTCAGTTGGCTGTCAGCTCCCTGCAAATTAGGGCACATGGTAGGACCGAATGTGGTCTCACTGAAGTTCTGAAGGTTTGGAGAGTGTCCACTTGACTCATATAAATTGGCCGTGGATGTATTCAGTCATAATGATTAGCGTTTTTCTCGACTGCTTGCATGTGAGGTGGAAGCAAAAATAATAAGTCTTGTGGCTAAAAAAGGTTAACCAAGACTGAAATTGAGTAAGAATTAAGTGGGGAAGTAATTACCATAATGAGGAACTTTCTTGCTTGTGATTTTGGTCTCTTATGCAAGGATGGCCCTTCTGCTTTGAAAACGGGCGTTGGTGACTCTTCTCTTTAGTTCCTATTCACCCTTTTTTTCTGTTTCCTTTTTTTTTTTTTTTTTTTAAATAAACACAATAAACAGTTCTGTATTGATCACCCATGTTTTGGGCACCGTTTGGCTGCCAGATCGGTTATATCATAACCAAACAATTGTGTCAGTGTAAATAAGAAGGGAATGACTTACAGAAGTGAATGTGTTCAGTGCAAGTTCAGCAGCTCCAGCTGGCGATGAGCTCGTCATCAGAGGTAAAAAGCTTTAAAAATGAAAAAAGCTTTAAAAATAAAGAGCTTTATTTAAAAAAAAAATAAATAAAAGCTTTAAAAATGTAACATACCACCATTGCTTGGGCGTATTATCCCAGCCTTGGAGTATCTGGGAATTGCCTGATAGTTCAAATTCAGTTTATTCGGATGTAACAGTAACCTGCTGTTGTCCTTTGTGTCCTCCCCCACTTTTTTTACCCTCTCCACCTTTCTACCCTCCCCATCAAAACAGAGCTCCTTGGCAGAGACGCTGGACAGCAGCGGCAGTTTAGACGCACAGAGAACCGACATGATTTACACTATTGAGGATGTTCCTCCTTGGTATCTCTGCATATTTTTGGGGTTACAGGTATGTTTCAAAACAGGTGTAATATTTTTCTCTGTAACTTTTAAAGCTTGCTTAGCATTTTCTGTGTAGCTCGTTGCCCTTATGTGATAATTTTATTCTTCCCACGCTCTCATGTGTTTGAAGAAAGTGTTAAGATAGTTTCTTCCGAAGTTGTTCACGAAGATTACTGGGTTGATAATGATCTATATTATTGTTTGCTGGCTTAGGCATTCGTGAGATTCACATCAATATTTAGTCTTCGAAGCAGCTGTTAGAAAATAAGTGAGAAAAAGCTAAGTGGTAAGCTTCAGAAAGTGACATTTGGCACCTCTGGCATTAAAGATAGAGAGAGATAATGGTTTAGCCCTGCAATCTTGAATATTAAGGCTGCTACTGTAATCATTTCAATTCTGCAAGCTTGATAGCATCATCCTGGACCTGTAGGATCTCTAGTAAATGGGGCAGGCAAATTCTGCACTCCTTGGAGTGAGAGCGTGTGCTTCCTGCAGTGAGTAGGGCTGTAGCAGTGAGCTGGACCCCACTACCAGCTCAGCCACTCACTTGTGTGAAGTGGAACAGCTCGTTTCATCTCCTTTCTTTCTCGAATGGTAATAATATCTGTCCCACAGGAATGCTGAGAATTTGTTAATATCTGTAAAGTATGTTGAGATCTCCAAACAAATACATTCCAAAGCATCTTTATTTCTGCCTTTCCTCAAGGACAGGCAGTTCTGTAGGGGTTATATTGTTACTGGCATTGTTGAATATGGTGACTCTTGTTTGTTTGTTTACTTAATGTATTTGGATTGAAAAAGAATTAATGAGTTAACCCAGTTTCTGGTACTCCTGAGCTTATTTGCAGCCTAGTTTGTATGTGCTCTGAGTTCATTTGTCAGCTAATGGTCTTTTCACATGGTTGAAAGTGAATGGAGTTATTGATGTGCTTTTCTGAGGTAGAAGCTGTTTTCAGTGCAGTTACCTAGATACCTCCTCACCAGTACAGTAGCTGTGTAAATAACCCAGTTTGTTCTCCAGAAATAGCAATCGCTAGCAACAGGCTGGTGGGAGCTTGACAGGGAAGGAAAATATTTGAAGAAATGCTTAGGACCAGGAAGTGAGAGCTTCGGTGGGTAATTCAAAAGCAAAAATATCCAGTGCAAAAGAAAAGATGGTAGTACATTTATTTACTTGTTAAATATTGACTGCAGTATTAACAAACCGTTTTTTCTCTTTGCAGCATTACTTGACGTGTTTCAGTGGAACTATAGCGGTGCCCTTTCTGCTGGCTGATGCCATGTGCGTTGGGTTTGACCAGTGGGCCACCAGCCAGTTGATTGGGACCATTTTCTTCTGCGTGGGCATCACTACATTGTTACAAACAACTTTTGGGTGCAGGTGAGATTCGGGACTTGTTTCTAGCTGTTGAAATGGTGATAAGACTAGACATCTGTTGGGATTTCCAGGATGCTGTCTGAGATGCAAGAGGTAGGTAGTCTATTTTCAAAGGATAAACAGAAAATACAAGAGAGCAGGTCAAATACAGGGCAGTTAGGGAAAGCTTTTGGAAAGCTGCTCCCCAAAAAAGGTGGATCTGAAATCAGAAAAAGCATTCCAAGGGTAGGAAAATACAACAGGGCAGGGAGAGGGAAGAAGGAGGAGGGAAATCTGTGAGAACAAAGAAGGTAGAAGTGTTTCTAGGGGAAAGGAAAAATTCATACACCTTGGTAAAGAGGAACTAATGTTGATATTTTTATTAGTTTCTTGAATGATACTGTATTCTGGCCAATGTTTAGGAGGTTGTGATTAGTCCTAACAACAAATAGTGTGGTTGTTCCTCTAAAGTGCTTGTCAAATTAAAAAGGTAGGGAAAAATGACGAGCGTAACTTTTTATTCTCTGAACTGTCTTGTGTTGCCTTCCAATCCAAACAAATAATTTATTTTTATTTGTTAGTTGCTCTGAGTTGCAGGTAATGATCCTTCCTTGAGTTGGGAAGAAGCATATCCCTTAGTGTAGCCTTACAGGGATGCCTGTACCTCTGCTTTGATCTGCTCTTCTTAGGAGGATGCAAGAGACCAACTCAGGTGTTAGCAAATACTCGTAAAACTCTGGTGTTGGTAAGAACAGGATGTTGTAAGTTTTATTAACATGAAGATAAATCTTTTTTTTAAACACTGCAGAGGTGTTTGACACGTTTACTTAAACTTTTGTTGGCTCTGCCTGTGAGAACCAAGAATAGCTAAAACCTGCAGAGTTATTTCTGCATCTTCTTGGGTAAACCAAGAGTGATAAGTAAAACCAGAAGGAAAGTGCGTATTTTAAGAGTACACCCTCATGTGGTTATTTCATATTCATGGGTCATTTAGTTCAGTTTAAGAACAATGTGTGAGCTCAAATCTTGCATTTCAATAGAAAATAGACAAACGCCCTGCAGATTTTTAAAGATTTATGTAAGAAACAGAACCCTTGGGTGGAAAAGTTATCTCAATAAGGCAAGCCTGAGGGAGATCACTTGCAATTGTAGATGAGCTTTTAATCTAAAAATTTTCCAAACATTTCAGGTTTTCCCATGTAATCTTTAGTTGCTATTTTAGTTAGCTTTAGTTAGCTTTCTTGTCTTTTTTCCTTTGAAATAAACCTTCCCCCTTTTTTTTAATTATATCTTACTAAACTTATAAAAGCGCTCTGCTGTTTTGTATGAAAATTTCATTCTGATGCCAAAGCAGTGTAATGAAAATTGTTGAAAGAGAAAATTTTCTTTCCCCAATGTATTTTCTTCTGGTCAAGACTACCTGCAGTTCATAATCTCATTTTCTGCCTCATTGGCTCTGTGTGCTCATGGGTAGCTTGCCTTAGCTGTAGTCATAGATTTTTCTAGTACTTCATCTGAATGGAGGCAGAGGAGCAGAGTTGTGCCCTTTGGTGTTTTGAAGCTCTCTTTTAATGGGAGTGATGTATTTTTATTTTTTTTTCCCCCCCATCTTCTATTTGTGCTTTATATAGGGAATTGAGGGATCGTTAACCTCGGTGGGAACTGGAAGATAAAGTCTTGCATTGTTCAACTTTGGGTGTCTCCTCCTTGGATTTACTGAAGGTTTAAATCTTGCAATTTTATAAGAAGTGCAGAGATGAGCTCAAAGGGAAGCTTGGTTTTCCTGTGCTTCCACCAACTTTCTTCTTCTGCCTCAGATTGATCAGAAAAAGCTTAGTTTTGTGCTTCCTGAGACTTGCATCTCTTCACAGAATTAAAGTTTGTCATATTTTGGGTTTTTTCCCCTAACTAATCTTGGACTTTTTATTTACTTACTCTAGAGCGATTTTGTGCTCTTGCAGAAACCAGTGTGGTCCCATCAGTTTGTAATTCTCTGTTCCTTCTGTATAATCCCACCTAAGGGTGGGAATGGGATAGAGCAGCAACGTTCTCTAAACGAGACTTTAAAATATTCATTGGCAAGTCTCTCAACTGCGAAGTATTTCAGCAAATAAAGCCACTATGGTTTCAAAAGGTCAAATTCCATGGTTTAAAGGTCCTTAAAGATGGATTTAGCTCAATTAGGAGGAGGAGTTGTGGTCAATTTGGTACCTATACTAGTTTTAGGAATTCAAGCTATTTATTAGGTTATGTAATAAGCCAAAAGATTTGGCAAGGATTCAGAGTAATTAGTACAACTGAGACAATCAAATACAGCTTTAATATGCCTAAACGTTTTAGGTTTGTTGCTGTGCCCATCGCTACGTTGTCCAAACATTCTTACATCTGTGTGACATACGAAGATAATGAAGACGTTTCCAGATGACTTTAACTGCATGAAAAGCTCTGTCTTCACGAAGGCTGATGCCAAACCTGAGCAAGTTCACGATTCAGACATGAAATTAAAACGATATCCCAATCATAAGGTGGTAGTACTTTACCCAGCAGTTAATGAATGCTTGGCTTAGCAATTGGAAAGGTATTTCTTAAGTCATGTTCCACACTGCATCTGTCTCTTCAGAAAGAGACTGAACATAGTTGGATGATTTTGAGTAGTAAGTTAAAAAAAAAAAAAAAAAAAGACATCTTCTTTCTGCTTTAGAAAAAAAAGGCAATATTTTGAGCCTACTGGCACTTTTGGTAAATATTCCAGGTTAACTGTCTTGCCCAAAGGTGGAGCGGGTAGCTCAGCGAGATGTACCAAGACCTCGTTATGCAATACGTGTGCAGGGTGTTTTATGGGATACAAAACTCACAATCTGGACCTGAGTCTCAGTACAAGTGACTTCACCACGGGAGAATGTGTTTGCAATGTGTATTTACAAAATCCTTAGCTGGGGGCGGAAACAGCAGAGTACGGTGTAGGTGGGATGGAGGAGTAACAGCTTGTTACAGGTATTGCGTGCTTCGCCGTGGGCACCAGCTTGCTCGGTTTGCTTAATGAACCTTGAAAAATAAGGTGAATCATTCACTTGTAGCTACCAACCCTTGCTTCACCACAGATAAAACTTTGATTTTTGCTTGAAGAAACTTAGAAAGGGGTTGCATGCCAGTCAGGTGTGCTCAGATGGCTGGTGGATTTTATAAAGTTTGACTTTCTCATGCTGTTTTCAACGTTTGCGATAGGTGGGTCAACTTTTCAGATTGCTCGTGGCCCAGACTCCTTTCCAATGGTAGTTCAGCTGTTCTGACTTCCTGCCTGTGACCTTTCCACTCGCTGTTAATAACATGCTTCTGGTTTGATCTTTTTTGTTAAGCATGTGTAGAATTATTTCCTCCCCCCCTTTCTTTGTGCCTTTTCTGATCTTTATCCGAATGCTACGGTTCGTTCTTTGTCCTTTGCTGCTGCTTGCTCTGCCTCTGAGGCACTTTGTTGCAGCTGCAGAACGGCCATAAACACGGTGCAGTAACCAGAGCCTCATGAGCAATTGAGTGTTCCACGTGTTACAGTTTGAGATCTGCTATTAAAGAGAATCTTACTACGATCCATTAATGATGGTATTTATAGACCGGTTCAAAGTGCATCTTCTCTGTAGTAGTAGTTAAGTAACAGCTGGATATTTGTGCTGTTATGCAGGCTACGCTGGATTCAGTAAATACGTAGTCAGTGCTGGTAGATGCTCTTTAGATCGTAAACATTTTGGGAAGCGTAAACACCAATGCTAAGAATGTCGTCTTGAAATTCTTGCAGTGTTTGTATTTGTTGGTAGCCACCTGGAACATCTAATCAGCTCTTATCAGCCTGACAGTTATTTACACGTATGCTTGAAGATGAATGTATAAATGACTGTACTTCAGGTCATGCAGAGGGAAGGTACTGAGTGTGCAGACTGCGTGCTGCTCCATCAAAGAGCTTTTTTAATGTGGTGGGATGTAAAAGCTGCATGTTCAGCAGTCTGGCTGGTGCTTATATCAGAACGTGAATCTGTATCCTCGTGCTGCTGAGTCAAAACCTTCAATCAACGTCTGGTACCTGTGTGTGGTAATTATCTGTTACAGACGTGGAATTAATAACTGTCAGGTCTTTGGTTCGTGAAGTCCCAGTATTTCTGTGGCTGTTCTTTTTCATAAGAAATTCTCATATCTCACATTTTTCGTAGCCCCCAATAAAGGACGATTTTGAGGATGAGTAACCACCTAACTGCAGTTGATATCCTGACACAGTACTGTAACACCGAGAAATGTCAGCGTCTCTTCTTTCCCTTTCCACCAGGTTACCCTTGTTTCAAGCGAGTGCTTTTGCCTTCTTAGCGCCTGCTAGAGCAATACTCTCCCTGGAGAAGTGGAAATGTAATAATACAGGTAACTGTCGTTTATGCTTGTTCAGGTTTCAGCGACAAATGACTCGTCACAGGTAGTGCAACTGTCACATCTTTTGATATGGGAACTGGAAGTAATGAGCAGGGAATATGGAAAAGTCTCTCCTTTTACAATGTTGAAGTTTTGCGTCTTGGAAAAAGATTCCTAAATATGGCCTTGTGGAATTCTCTTTCTGTTTTTTTGGGTTTTTTTTTTAATATAGAAAATGTTGACAGAAGAAATCTAGCAGTAGCATAAAACAGTTAATGATGTAGAGAAAGACAGAAGGATTCCATAAATGTTCCTTTCTGGTATTTGGAAGTAATGAGTCCATTCGAGTCCGTTCAAGTTAAGTAGTAGGAAATTTGAGCCATGTTCAGCATCACTTCAAGAGCCGTATTTTTACCTGTTTAATTCATACCTGACAGGTTTTGCAGAACAAGCTTTGACAATATTTGGGTGTTTGTTTTAACTTTTTCTTTGCTAACATCATCATCCCAAAAGGTTTCAGATTTAAATATTTAGAGTGAAAACGTGCAGTAAAATTGTTGGGTAGGGGGCTTTTGCTTTAACTTAGGGTAGAAAACTGAAGTGGAAACAGCTCTGGCTGTGGGCAGTGCAAGACAGCAGTATAGAGAAGCAGGCTGCTTGCTTCTATAAAATGCTTCCCAGGGGTCCTTTTGATTCTCTAATAATTTATATTTATATTATTTATGTGTTTACACATCTCTCTTGATTCACTTACAACTATCTAATTAGTTTTCCTGATGTTTTTTCTATAGAAAACTTAGCTTTGAGCATTCACATTTTCTTCACTGGGGGAGTCAGATTTAGCTACTGGGACGTAGCACGTGGGTTTCGGTGCCCAGGAGGTCAAGGCAAACTGGTGTGCTTCAGCGGTGCTGGCTGTGTCGGATAATTCTGTGCACCGAAACGTGCCGGTATCCTGATACACACCTTGTTGTTGAAAGAAAATACGGTCTGACCGCCTTTGATGGCAAAGCAGTTTTTTCCACTACTTCAGCTTTTCAAAAAGAGCCTTTGCTGCATCTTGCTCTTGAACCTTTTAACCTCCACACGGTGTCAGACGGGGTTGTAACCACGGGTCAGTTCGCCGTTCGGGGAGTGACCTAAATTGGTGAACAACCAACGTCGGAGTGCTTGGTTCCTAGTGTGCGGTTGAGTAATTCTCCATTCATCCGTTTATTGGAGTGGGAAAAGAATCCCTAATTGACCTTTCTTTGTGAAAGTTGGGATTTTTTTCCACTTCGGTGCAGTGGGTGAAATTAGTGGTTGGCTCTTGGGGAACGTAAGCGTGTTGTTACTTGATTTGCAGCGTTGCAGAACTTTTTATTCTGTGTAAATCAAGGCTCGTTTGTCAGGCAGCTTAAGGAGAGGTTTATTTTGTATTAAATGATGGCAGAGTGGCTGAGGAATAAATACCTGTGTGTTTTCTTTTCTTCTTTTTGTAAGATATAACAGTTACAAACGGAACAACAGAGCTGCTTCACACTGAGCACATCTGGTATCCCAGAATACGAGAGGTAATGTAGGAGTAGCCTTTAGCCGTTGATCTGTCTGACTCCAGTTAAGTTTCTCACCTAATCATCTCTGTGTTCTCGTCTTTAAGTTTGCAATCTCTTCCTTCATTGCGATTTTCGTTGGAGTATATCCCTTTTACTCATTTCATGAAAGCCTTCATCTTTTCCACGTGTTCCTTGCTGGACAGCAAACACAAGGAGTTAGTTGCCACCTTCCAAAAGACGCGCAGTAAAGCGCACGAGTGGGACCAACACTCTTCTCGTAACGCTTTGCCATTTGTGCTCACTGGCAAAAGTCACACACACCTCTTGCCTGCTGTCGCTCGCTTCAGTAGGCTGTCCCGTGGAAGGTAACACGCAGTTAGCAAATCTGGTTCATCCTAAGTGTCTTAAGTTGGAGACTATCCTGATAAGACGTTGACTCTCCCAAGAGACTTGCTGATATGTATCAGACTCCTTCTCCACTCGCAGCACTGCAGTCTGAACCTCGTCACGCTCTGCAGAGCCCAGGATGAGGGGTGTGCCCAGGCATCACACTAGAGTGGTAGATGGCGTAGTCCAAATTAAGGCGTGTGTCATGGAATTTATCTCCCATCCCGTTGCTTTGGGCTGCAAACTTTTTCTTAATTAAAAACAACCCCTCTCTCTTCCCCATGTTCAAACCATAGCTACCTTCTGCCAAGAGCCCTGCAGCCAAGAGGGCTGACAGTCTCCTGAGACCACAACGCTGCTCTATACCAGCTTCTAAGGAGCACTTGTGAACAATGCAGCACACACTCTGCCCCTAGGAGCTAGGAGCATCACCTCCGTGGCGCCACCAACCCTGAGAGCCTAAAGGTTAGCCTGGAACCCAGGTCTCCTGTCTGACAGTGTGATGTGCTATCCACACAACTACCAGACTGGCCCACTGGTCTGTTGTGTAATAGTTTTGTGGAGAAAACCATAAGTGTTATGCTTAAGCAATAAGTCACTTAAACATAATGAGCTGTTTTATGACGAAAAATTTGCTGAGTTCTTCTGTGTCACTGAATTCTTTTAACTGCAGTTTGTAATCCAGAGCAGAAAAAGAAATGTTTGGGGTTTGCTTGTAAGATTTGACTGAACTGGCTCTTTCCCGTTCTTGTGTGTTCAGATCCAAGGTGCTATTATCATGTCCTCCTTGATAGAAGTGGTGATCGGTTTGCTTGGCCTCCCCGGCGCCCTGCTGCGGTACATCGGACCTCTGACCATCACGCCGACTGTCGCTCTCATCGGCCTCTCCGGTTTCCAAGCTGCTGGAGAAAGAGCAGGCAAACACTGGGGTATCGCTATGTTGTAAGTACTCCTGGCTGTTCTTGGCTTAGGCCAGGGGGTGCCAGTTGGTAAGTCGTCACGCAGGAATTTTGGAGTGTCAGGGAAAAGCCAGAGCCTGCTCGGCTGCCAAAAGTGGTGTTGCAGTGCTCCCAGCATGGAGAAATACCCTGTGCAGGAACGTGAGTGGGTATGGATGGGGTCAGCTGGCAATTTGGGAGTGAGGACAGCAGCAACTCCAGAAGAGGAGGAAGGAAAGGAGAAGGGCTGAAGGTGAAGTGTGGAGAACAGAATGTTATAAAACAATAGTTGGTCTGGGAGCCATTGGATGGGTCCGATTCAATGGTGTAGAAAAGATGATTTAGCAAAACACCAGAGAGATCAGTGAGCAATTTGTATTTCTGTTTTTATGATGCTATTGTGTGTGTTTCTTACTCTGCAACAGCGAGCAAATACCATGGGTAGTAGTGATCCATTTGTCATTCTTACTGGTTTGCTTACCTATAACCAAAAGCAGTTTGTGTGATGACAGAGAGCATGTGTATTTCCATGAATGCCATCAGTCAGTGAGGCATAAGTAGACAGGTTTCTGTTTAGCCGACAAACGGGCTTTTAGAGCGAATTTCAGGGCAGGATGCATGTGCTTCTGTGGGTAGGGATGGCAGGGAAGTTAAACAATTGAGAGCAGTGGTATGAAAGGGAATAACTAAGAAAAATGAGGTGAAGAGAAGACAAAAGCTTCCTCCCAGATGCTGTGGATAAGCAGCCAAAGAAAGGTGGAAACCACATTTTAGGGAGAAGGGAATTGGCTGAAGCAGTTGCTATATTCAATGTATAGCGACCAACTTTGTGCTGGCTCTGGAAGTGGAAGGAATGACTTGATGAGATCAGATTCTCATCTGGCTAATCTGTTTGCACAGTACTTTGAACATGTAAAGTATTCCGTAAGTGCAGCTTATGATTAAAAGGGCTGTTTAATTCTCTTTTATCTCGGATGTTTGCATCATGAATATTCTTGTAATTCTATTACATTAAGCAGCTGACCCAAAGGAACGTTCTGGTTTCCTGTAAAACAAATTCTTTGCAATATGGGACCGATGTTAAATCAATCAAGCAGACCTTTGGTGAATTGGACATGGAAATGTGTAATTAAAGTTGACATTTTGCAGATGGAAAAAAAAAAAAAATCAATTTAGGAACAGAATTTAAATATTACCCAGTCAATACATATTTCTGGCTTCTGCCATGTAAAAACGTGCAATAGATTGCTGAAAAACTCCGTAGCCATCTAGAGCTGCTCAAAAGTGACTTGAGATAAAAATGGCAGTAAGCCCCCTGCCATGTAGCCAATATATTATAATATTTACAAGAATAGAATATTATTACGTTATTTACAACTCTGTACTAAATAAATGGAACTGCAAAGCGACACCTGTGCTCAGGGCCGGGGTGGCCGGAGAGCTGCCCTTAGGGAGCCGAGCCCATCTTTCCCTAAAAAAAGACTTGGGAAGAGATGCCAAAATGTTTCCTGATTGCAAGGAAAAGGTGCCTTTATCGTTCCACTCCAGCTGGGGTGAAGGCTGTGAATGACACCCTTCTTGTGCAGAGCTCTTTGTTCCTGGAGATTGAGGGAGAATAAAGCTCTGGTTTGTTTCTTACAGTCTGAAACTGATCTCAGACAGAAAAGGGAGGCTTAAAAATCTGCCTTTTTTTTTAAAAAAAAAAAAAGTCAGCTGATAGAAGCATAATCTCAAATTTCAGAAAAGCTTTACTTCTTCAGACAGCTTGGCTCTTTGTGTAGCCTTTTTATAGCAAAACTGGTTTGGGCTATTTCAGAATTGAGCAACCTGCCCCAGCTTTTTATTTTTCATTGCAGTCGATACTTCTTTTAGCTGTAGAGTTGAATTAATTTTTAATGTCTAGAGGAGCTTAGCAGTTTCAACGAGGGGGAAGAAATGTGTAATACTTGAGGCATCTAAAAACTAATAAACTGGGTTCCTGGTGAACTGCAGTTGAATGGATTCTTGGTTTGGGGCTCTGTTCTGCTTGATTTACAGCTGTTTAGTGAAAGATGCATATACAAAAAAAAATTGGGATTCTTACAAATTGAAGGAAGGATTTCCCTTGACAGAAATTTTTCAATTTGTTGCTATTTTTGCAGCGCTTTAGAATACAAATGACGTTGGTTTGGCTTTCATGGAATGATAGTTTATTTAAAACATATTCTCTTATGATGCCTTGTCTTGTGCCAAACTTAAAATGTGCATTAATATTTTGTGTCTGAAGAGCCTGAACAGGTTTGTGCTGAGAATTTTTAACATACTGGTGCTAATGACATGTCTCCCTTGTCCCCCCCTTCTCCTTCTTTTTTCTCAGGACTATTTTTCTAGTATTGTTGTTTTCTCAGTACGCCAGAAACGTCAAATTTCCTTTACCCATTTACAAATCCAAGAAAGGATGGACAGCGTACAGGCTGCAGCTTTTCAAGATGTTCCCTGTAAGTAGCTGAATTTGTTCTTCAGTTGGAAAAAAAAACCAAACAAACAACCTAATTTGTGTTGGGTTTTTTTTTCTTGGATTTCATTTTTCTTAATAATACAATAGATCACAAAGGTGAGATAAAAGCTTAAATGGACTTATGGGAAACTTAACTAAATGGCTCATTTGCCACAGGCAATAGTCTCCTATTGTAGTCTTGCCAGATCCCAGTAAGGATCCGTCTCTGATGAAGGGTCATTGGAGTGATGAAGATCATGGAGGGGCGGGAAGGGGGTAGAGAAGAAGGTATATTTATACATGAAGTGAAAGCCTAGACTGAGCCCTCCAAAAGGGATGGCAAGATCAGTATCTTCTAGTTTTATGAAAGCAATATTCCGTTTCCCTGTGTGAAAGACTTCTTTTTATTTCTCTGGTGCAAAGTTGGGACTGATTTGCTAGTTTGCTTAAATGCCCATTTGGAGACTCCCCCATTTGTTAGGGGAGAGGAGAGACTTGCTCTAATTCTGAAGCTTTTTTTACGAGCACCTTCGTTGGGGGCCGCAGGGAAACACCTAACGGATCTTTTACAGGATTGACTGCTTGCTCAGGCTTAAATAAGATCACACTCAAGCGTGTGCGTAATATTCCGTACAGGAACTGTTTGCTCTTGATGAATGTTGCCAATGATAGTTTATTTTAAACAGCTTTTTTTCCTCTCTTTCATAGATTATTTTAGCTATTTTGGTGTCGTGGTTGCTTTGCTTCATCTTCACGGTGACAGACGTCTTTCCCCCTGACAGCTCGAAGTACGGCTTCTACGCTCGCACAGACGCCCGACGAGGAGTGCTGCTGGTAGCTCCGTGGTTCAAGGTTCCCTACCCTTGTAAGTATGCCTGGTTTCAAGGGCTGGTTTTCTAATAATATGCCTGTGAGTGTCACTCCTGTTGTTTTCAGCAGCACTGCTCTTTTTCTATCAGTACTGTATGCTGGTGCACTTCAACATGTGCTGACCTAAACATGTCGTAGGTGGGGATGATGGGTTGTTGCTTGTTTTCCTTTTTGATTTGATTCCTTAAGGTCTCACCCAAGGAACATCGAGACTCTGAGACTTGAATTTGTAGAAGGCCCTTGCAGGGTTTATCTGGGTAACTCTTGACTTGTAACATAGATAACGTGGATTTTCAGAGAATCATTAATTTATCTGTGCTTGTCGATACCGTTGTCAGTTGCTGTTCATGTTGTACAATAATAAGGATGGGTTATTACAACTCCTGTAGAGCTACTGAAGTCATTGATTCTTCTTGTCTTAAGAATCAGCAGTGTGTGGAGTTTTTTCCAGCTTAATGCACTTCCCCACCCCAAACACGCTCGTTCTTGACTTTGCACAACGTAACAGCTACACAAAAATCTCCTGACTTGCAGAAGCAGTGCTGGAATCGGGCTGATGGCAAGTTGGAGGATGCCAGTCAACGCTTGTCAGAAGACAAAAAAAGTATTTACAGGAGAACACAAAATGCTTTACACAACATCTGGGATGTTGGTGTTCTTTTGCTGGCCTCCTCTAAGTTTAAAGCTGTTAAAGGCTGTTTCTTGTGGCATGAGATGCACAAGTGGTTGAGTTGCACAAGTGGTTCACTCTTGTGCTGCTCAGAAGTTAATGGGGTAATCATAAAATAACGTTCTACTACAATAAAATAATAGAAATCGTTAGGAATACCACTGTGTTGTAACAAGGCAGCTTCGTTGTGGTTTTCCATATACTTTGGTTCTGATTATTTCTTAAAAGAAACCACTTCTAAAACCGGACTTGCAAGATGTATAATAGAAGCTTTTGGGAAAGGGGGAGAGGAAAACTTCTCCACCCTGATGAGACCTTTCTTGTTTGTGAAGCCTTGTTCATTCACATCTGCGTGCCTTAAAGTTCCTTTTGTTGCAAGAGGCTCTTCCATCTCAGAGATAAAAGCATCAAAGCAATTGCTGTGGAAAACCTGCCAAGCTTTTCTATAGGCTTAAATTAATCTTATTTTCCCTTCTACAAAAATTTGGAATCGTGAGGGTGTTCGTGCAACGATCGTAGCCGATTGTTGACCGTTCCCTTCTGTAGGTTAAACTTGTAACCAAAGATTGAGTTTTTAAAGCAATAGTAATTAAGTGGCATTTGCCTCACTGATCAGAACTGTTTTTTCACAAGCAATACTTCAAATTCCTTCCTTCTGAACAGGAGGAATTTTTTTTTTTGTGGGTTTTACGGGTTTTTTGTGGTTTTTTTTTTTTCCAAACATGATCAAAGCAGTTGGTTAGGCCGTTTTTCCTTTGCTCCTTTCATCAACTTGCCAGACTGTTACTGTGAAGGGAGTTTGTTGATTCCATTAGATAAATTGCTGTGTGTTTTGATATCTGAATTGTTTTCTGTGGCACAAAAGATTTCAGTTTTCTTTTCTTCACAGTTCAGTGGGGACTGCCAACGATTTCGGCCGCTGGAGTAATAGGAATGCTTAGCGCCGTTGTTGCCAGCATTATTGAATCAATAGGAGATTACTATGCCTGTGCCAGGTTGTCTTGTGCTCCTCCTCCACCTATTCATGCAATAAACAGGTATGTCAAAAAAAGAAGTATTTTTCAGTGTCTTAAGCTCCTTTTTTTTTTTTAGTTTTTTTTTTTCCCTCCTGGGGATAAGACAGGAATGTGCTTTGAGATCAAATGTTAGAATTTAGTCAAACATAAGGGCCAAGGATCTGAAATACAAGATGCAACTGTCATATTGAATTATTTTGTTGCAAATGTGGTGTTGGAAAACTAGTCCTGTTTCTGCTGGAGCCCATGGAAGTTAATAGTACAGTTTCCATAGGAGCAGAACTCTAAATGGGTGCTGGAATCTAGACAGCTTGTCAAATTCACCTGAAATGCAGTTTTAGAAATAAAGAGCAGCTCTAACTTTGACTTGAATTATTTTGTAATTTCCTCAGTTAAAGAACATGGGTATCTAAGACGTAGCAAACAGAACTCAAGTTGGTTTCCCAGATGTGTTGGAGCTTGAAACATGAATTATAATAATTCCTGTGGGCCAGGAACAGGCCCCCACGTAGTGTACGGTCATAAAGCGCCGCCTGAAGTGAGCTCACGCTAGTACAAGTTTGACTCTTTTTTTCTGTCTGTGGTTTACAGAGGGATTTTTATTGAGGGTCTCTCCTGTGTGCTGGATGGAGTATTTGGGACAGGGAATGGATCCACTTCTTCCAGCCCTAACATTGGTGTCTTGGGCATCACAAAGGTATGTGCTTTCCCTTGATTACTCGGTGACTTGAGTATTTTATCTCCTCTGGTGGGTAGCTTATGCCATTTTCATGTTTCACAGCATGATCCTCTTCCAAGAAACCATCCTACTTAGTACTTTGTGCAGATCAACTTTACACAGCATTCTGAATTTGCCTGACTTGTCTGTACCAGCCATTGGCTAATAGAAACACCTTCTAGATAAGAACCTCAAATATGTTATTTTTATTTGGAGTAAAGGGCAGTTAGCAAACCTGCATGAAGCAGATGATGCTAAATAAGCTATCCCTTTGAAAACCAAGGTGTTCCAGGGCTCGGGGACGTTTTGAGTTGAGGCATAAACACTGTAAACTGTTTAGAACTTGAAACTCTTTGGATGTCTTGGCTCTGAAAGACATCTAGAGATGTCTTTGGCTAGAGAACTGACTGGTTTTACTGTCTCGCTTGAGCACAATGAAATGCAACTTGAGGTCCTTGGGTTTTACCTACGTCTGTACTAGGATGTTGTGCTGACACAGCTAGAACAGGAGCTGCAGTCAAGGTAACTTCAAAGTTAAACGTACCCTAAACACTTGTTTCTGTCGTGATGGGTTTTTAAAGCACTGAGCACCTTTAGGGGATTACGTATTTTTGGGGGTGTTACTTGGCAAAATATATAAGCGCTTGAGGAATTTCTTTGTTGACACACGGAGCTGGGTGTCTGCTTGAATGCCTTGCTGAACTGGGAGACCTTGGGCTGCAGATAGATTTGCTTGATGCTGTTAATTTAACCTTGTTAAGAAACATCAACAAAATCAGTGAGAGTAATTTCAGTTGTGAATCCGTACATCGTGTTGCGTATTTCGCTTGGAAGCTATAAATTGTCTTCATGCATACGAGACAGAAAATGTCCACTCCCTACTTACAACAACTCATCCCTCTGACTTAATCCAGTATAGATGATGAATTTATCTTCAGCCATTTTTTTTTCTGCACAAAGGATGATTCTGTTGGGTTTTAGGGTGGAATATAAATACTAATAGCACCATCTGCTGTCTGTACAAGCCTTCCATTCAGTTGCCGATGGAAATTTCCTAGAGAAATTTTGGGTAGAAAAATCCTGAAAGAGAGGTTTATTCTGTTCTGCTCCCTTTCTGTTGTGACTTCATAGGAGTTGATATGAATTAACAACACTTTTTATTAACAGTCCACAGAAATGAGTGCACGTTTTGCTTTGGAACAGTGAAAAATGAACGTCAAACTGGCAGCTGTTACAGAGAAGAGTTCACTGCAGTTAGGTCTGGTCAGGGCGCGTGGGGGAAGAGTGAATGTGCCCTACCCAGGCTGGCACAGCTGCATGGCTGTGCTCCAGTGTTCTGCCTTGTTTTCCTGTCTGCATCCTCATTCCTAAAAACCTAATAGTTTTGCAGCCTCCATTTATATCAAAATAGATTTTTGCCATGTAGGTAATCTGCTGTTTATTTGGGAGAGGGCATCTGTAGTGCTCATGAGCAAAGACTACATAGTCCTGGTGATCCTGTTATACCAGTGCAACATTTGAAAAGGTGTTCCCTCCCTTGAAATTAGTACATGATTACTCTTAGATTTTAAATTTGCAGCTTCAACTGGATGTCAAGTCTTTGAGCTAGTCTGTGAGCGAGTTTTATTTGATGAGAGGAGAATCAATTAAATCTGATGAGTTGGGCCAAAAGTATAGGCAACTTATGCCATAATGTTGGTGATGAAATGGATACTCCAGTGGGGCACTAGGTACCGTATCACGCACTCCAAAATAATCACACAAAGTGTGTTTATGAGTGCCTGGGAATAAATATGTAGTTTGAGCTAAATGCTGACCAGGATGCTTTCACTAACTTTCAAAAGGAGCTTAATTTTTTTTTTGCCTTGTAGTGCTTGAGAATTTGTATTAATCAATGCCACTATCGTGTGGATTTTTTTTAAGAATCTGCCTGTTTCATTCAGGGAGGTAATTTTGGAGCAAGATATTGGTGGTCCTAAAGAAATAAATATCTTCATTGAAAGTAGAGAAAGGTGCAGGTAATCTAGTGAACACCCTCTTTTAGTGGTCTTCCTTCTGTTTTTCGGTGAACGCATCTCACCTAACAGTTAAGCAGTGAAGAATATGGGGAAAAGAAGCACTTTTGCCCTAAACATGTCTGTGTATCCTGTTTTCTCATTTCACTCGTTTAGCTCAGTCACACGATTAACAAATTAATATCTACTTCTCTTTGAAGCTTAATGCTCTGGCACAGAAATCACCTTACCAGTGTCATGGGGTGGAGTTTGGGGTTTTTTTTTGTACCTGATGTGCTTCTTACGCAAGTATAACACTATTAAAATATTGAACCTTTGGGTTTATCAACTACCACTACAGCATAGTGCCAGAGAAACACTGCCCCGAAGTTTGAACGCTTAAAATAAAAATGGGAAGGAAGTGCAGGCTCGGGGTTTCACAGTGCTGGCACAGCCGTCGTTTGCTTATGAAGGGAATTCAGTTCTGATCTCAGAGAGATGTTACAAAATCCCTTGATAATCCCTCTCCAGAAAGCCTAGCATCTCCTTCACGTGAACTGCATGGTGGGTAACTAATACATATATTCTTATGTGAAAGGGCAGCAACACATGGAATTTTTTTTATTGCCCCTTTTTTTTTTTCTGTTTGCATTACAATTGATCAGTTTGCCATCTCTCCTAGTTGTGGCCTGTTTATTTTCTTTCTTGTAGATGGGACTGTGGCACATTTCATGGTTATTATGGCTCTAGCAGTTACAGATGGTTTTAAAGATGACTTAATGTTAACAAAAACAAAATCAAGCGAAGTTACGTTGGAACTGGAGTGCAGCCATGTTACAGCTGAGCCCTCCAAGGCACGGAGGGTTTCAGATGCAGAAGGGAATAATAAAACCAAGTGCAAGGCGTGACGTTGGACCGAGCACGGACCTTTTCCGATGGCCTTTCCTTCTTGTTCTCCTGCAGGTTGGCAGTCGCAGGGTGATTCAGTATGGGGCAGCCTTCATGCTCTTGCTTGGGATGGTCGGCAAGTTCAGCGCGCTCTTCGCGTCGCTGCCTGACCCCGTGCTCGGTGCCCTCTTCTGCACTCTCTTTGGTAACGTCTGTTTTTTGGCTCCTCGTTGTGTCCCGTGTTGTGTGACTGCCTCTTTTTCCTCTAGTGCTGTGTTTATATGTATGTTATTATCTTTTTTTTTTTTAGAAAAAAGACCATTTAAAAGCCGAGACTTGTTTTATTTTTCTTTAGGGATGATTACAGCCGTGGGTCTGTCTAACCTCCAGTTCATAGATCTCAATTCTTCTCGTAACCTGTTTGTACTCGGATTTTCCATTTTCTTTGGACTTGTCCTTCCAAGCTATCTCAAACAAAATCCACTCGTCACAGGTATGTGTTTCTGCTCACATGAAGCGTGCTTTTACTTTGTGCTCCTATGCAAAGTGACATAAAGGGTAAATAAGAGAAAAAACAAAAGTGTTATGGAGAGAGTAAAAGCTATAGATAAGAAGGCAGGTGTGTACAGAGGAGAATTAATTGAGACGTTGAGACCTGAATTGAATGCTTCAGTGGGCTACATTTGAAGTTGTCGTGCTTTCTCTGGCTACTGGACTGGAAGAAAGACTAAAAGGCTGAATCTGAGTTGTGAATGATGTTAAAAGAACCAGGGGAAATACCACAGTAGAGCTTGGAAGCTAGGAATTTGGGTGGGGTTTTGAAATTTTTTGTCACTGCAGACATGCGTTCTGAATCTGAATTTTCAGATTTTCTCAGTTTCAGACTCTTAGCCAAATTCTAGTTTTCGTGAATTCATGGAGAAGTTTGTCTACTTTAATACTAACTTCCCAGTAGTGGTCGTGGCAGTGTATGTCATCAAAGGAAGACTTTACAGGAACGCTTAACGTGTTTGGTTTGGTTTTTTTTAAAAGGAAAGATTAACTTTTTATAGCTGTCACTTCAGAACCAGATTTAAGAGCCGATCTACCTACTTTAAGTTGTTCAGAAAAATAGATGATTCAAGCAGAGTTAGGTGACGTTATATTAATACAATGTTCTTCTGTGAATTGATGCTGTGAAGTCTTGCTCTTTTAAGAAGTAAAGGTTTATAAAAAGAATTATTTGGGCTTACATGATTTCACATTATAAACGTTTCTCCTTTTCCATTTTGTAGTTTTCTATTTAGTTTAAATTAAGCAGTTGTGTCTGCAGTAGAAAGTAAAATGGCATTTCATGACATTTTTATGAGCAACTGGAAGTTTATGGAGTTATGTTTTGGGAAAGAAGGGGTCCCTGTGGTGTACTACGTTAGTTGAAAGATCTTTTGCATCTATTCCCACGTGGTTTTAAGAGTCCTATTTGAGCAAACTCCTCAGTGAACTCAGTAGCAAGTTTGCCCAGTTGAGCTGCATGTAAATCAGTAGGATGTGTATATTACGGTAAAAATTTAAATTCTAAATTTTTTTTTCCTGTTTTTTTTTCTAGGAATCGCGGGCATCGATCAAGTATTAAACGTTCTTCTCACTACAGCCATGTTTGTCGGTGGCTGCGTTGCGTTTATTTTGGATAATACCATTCCAGGTCAGCATGCAAACTTGTCACTCCATCTGAAATAATAAACTGCCTTCCTGAACGAAGGTAGCACAGCGTTTCTTGGAGGCAGGAGAAGAGATTACTGCTTTTATTGTTGACTTCTTCAGCACCTAGAGCAGACTGCTTAACAGCTGCGTGCCTCCGTTTCCTTGAGAACGCTTTGAATCTTTGTCAGGTTGAGATCTCCATCCTCTGAAACGTACAGAACAGCTGAGTAGTCGTACTCAAAGCAGAGTAAAAATATTTTAAGATCCAAACCTGCTTCCCTTCATTTGAGAGCAAAATCTTGCTTCCACTTCCAGTTACAAAATAAAACAGATAACAGCCATTTCAAATAAACATACTTTTCCCCCTTGTCCTGCCTCTTTGAGGAGTCTTTCTAGGGCTTAGTTAAGCACAGTGTCTGAGGCTGGCGAGTTTTCTTTCTTCTCTTAACCTTTACAATATATGTGTGTGTTCACATAAAGATATTTATGTATGGTGGTTTTTTTTTTCTTTTATTTTGACTTCTAGGAAGCCCTGAAGAAAGAGGAATACGGAAATGGAAGAAAGGGGTTGGTAAAGGAAGCAAGTCACTGGATGGCATGGAAACGTATGATTTACCTTTTGGCATGAACTTTATTAAAAAATACAGGTGTTTCAGCTTCCTGCCCATCAGCCCTACCTTCGTGGGTTACACGTGGAAAGGCTTCAGGAAAAGCAGTAACTGCAGGAGTTCAGATGAAGACTCAGAAGCTACAGTATAGCCTTAGTTGAAATTATCTTATCTAGTTGTAGTAAAAGATGTATTTGCAGTTTCTTGCTGATTAAGAAGCATTAAAATATATGTTTTGTATATCTGCATTTAAATTCTGGAACCAGAGCTGAGACGGATTTGAAAAAAAAAAAAAAAAAAAAAAAAGAAGCTTTCCTGTTGTGGGTGGTGGTAACCGGATCTAGTGTCTCTGGGTCAAATTTACCAATATTCCTCTGTTTGGTTTTCCAAGAGCTATGGATACCTGCACACCTAAGTCTGTGTTGAAAAATGTTACTTTTGAGGGTGATTTTGTTGAAGTCATTGACGCTGGCGTTTTTGACGCTTTCGTTGCTGACAATGTCAGTTACGCCAGAAAATTGGAATCCTATGAGAAGGAGTAGGGA